TGAACAACGCAGGAGGCATCAAATGAAGATGGAAGGAATACAGAGAGTCACTGTATCAAAAAGAACTGGTTGATATCTGACTATTTCAAGAGATAATATATGATCAATAACCAATGGTATTCAAGGAAGAAGTTGAAGCTGCACTAAAGGAATTGGCAAAAGGCAAGGCTCCAGAATTGACCCATTGAGATGTTTCAACAAACAGATGCAGCACTGGAGGCATTCACTCATTTATGCCAAGAAATTTGGAAGATAGTTACCTGGCCAACTGACTGAAAGAGATTGATGTTTGTGCTCATTCCAAAGAAAGGTGATCCCACAGAATGTGGAAATTATCGAACAGTATCATTAATGCTGGGAACTCTGGTGGTGGTCCCTCTGGTGGTGTAGTGCCTAAAGCATTTGACTGCTAACCAGAAGGCTGGTGGTTCAAACCCACCAGCCACTCCTTGGAAGGAAGGTTGGGCAGTTTACTTCTGTAGTGATACTGCCTTGGAAACCCAAGGAGGGGTCACTAGGAGTTGGATCCAACTCGATGTCAGTGGGTGGTGGGGTGCGATCATTAATGTCACATGTGTAAAATTTTGCTGAAGGTAATTCAAAAACAGTTGCAGCAGTATATTGACAGGGAACTTCCAGAAATGCAAACTTTATTCAGAAGAGGACGTGGAATGAGGGATATCATTTCTAATGTCAGATGGATCTTACCCGAAAGCAAAGAATACCAGAAAGGTGTTTACCTGTGTTTTACTGACTATACAAAGACTTATTCGACTGTGTGGATCATAACAAAATATGGGTCACAATCCAAAGAATGTAAATTCCAGAACACTTAATTCTGCTCACGAGGAACATCGTTCGAACTGAACAAGGGGATACTGCATGGTTTAAAATCAGGAAGTTCTATCCTTTCACCATATTTATTCAGTCTGTATGCTGTGCAGTTAATCCAAGGAGCTGGACTATATGAAGAAGAATGCAGCATCAGGATTGGAGGAAGACTCATTAACAACCTGTGACATGTAGATGACACAACCTTGCTTGCTGAAAGTGAAGATGACTTGAAGTACTTCCTAATGAAGATCAAAGACTGCAGCCTTCATTTCAGTATGGATCACACCTCAACGTAAAACAAAAGTCCTCAGAACTGGACCAATAAGCAACATCATGATAAAAAGAAAAGATTGACGTTGTCAGGAATTTCATTTTACTTGGATCCACCATCAACACCCATGGAGGCAGCAGTCAGGAAATCAGACATTGCACTGGGAAAATGTGCTGCGAAAGATCTCTTTAAAAAACAGTAAGCAAAGATGTCGCTTTGAAGAGTAAGGTGTGCCTTTCCCAAGCCATGGTATTTTCAGTTGCTTTGTATGCACGTGAAAGATGGACAGTGAATAAGGAAGATGGAAGAAAGGTTGATACGTGTGAATTGTGGTGTTGTTGAAGAATACTGAAAATACCATGGACTGGCTGAAGAATGAACAAATCTGTCTTGGAAGAAGTGTAGCCAGACTGCTCCTTGGAAGAAAGAATGGCCAGCCTTTGTCTCATCTACTTTGGTCATACTGTGAGAAAGGACCAGTCCCTGGAGAAGGATATCATACTTTGTAAAATAAAGGGTCAGTGAAGAACGGGAAGATCCTAAATGAGATGGATTGACACAGTAGCTGAGACGATAGGCTCAAGCATAGCAAGGATTGTGAGGATGGGGCAGGACAGGACAGTGTTACGTTCAGTTGTACATAAGGTCACCATGAGTCCGAGCTGACTTGATGGCACCTAACCACAACAACATCCCTTCTTCCATGTCCTTCTGAATTTAGCTGGCAGTTCCCTGTTAGTATTGTTGCAACTGTTTTAGTTATCTTCAGCAAATTTTGCTAACATGTAATATTAATGACATTCAGTGCTTCCCACATTCTTTGATTGCTTTACTTTGGTATGGTCATGAATATGGATCTCTTCCAGCAGGGTGGCCAGGTAATGTCTCCCAAATTTCTTGATGTACGTGAGTGAGCACGTCCAGCCTTGTGCTTGCTTGTTACAACATCTCAACTGGTATTTTACCAGTTCCTGGAGCCTTGTTTTTCACCAGTGCCTTTAGTCCAGTTTGATCCTCTTCCCTGAAGACCATCGGTTCTCGATTATATGCTGCCTCTTAAAATGATTGTGCATCGGTTCTTTTTCATAGAGACTCCATATTCTTTCCATCTCTCCTCCAGACTCTGATTGATTTATTTTTTAACTGTGGTAAATAATAGAGGTAACAAAACATTGGCTGTTTCAGCCATCTTCACATGTACAGTTCAGTGACATTAAATACATTCATCATGTTGTTTAGCCACCATCATCATCTTTGGATGGCTCTCACATCACCAAAGTGCACTTAACTCAAGCCTCACATGCATGAGAGCTGGACAGTGACTGAGGAAGGCGGAGGAAAAATCGATGCCTTTGAATTGTGTTGGCAAAGAATTCTGAAAATAAACAAATGTGTCTTGCAGGAAGTATAGCCAGAATGCTCCTTGGAAGCAAAAATGGCCAGACTTCGTCTCTTATACTTTGTTCATGTTGTTGGAAGGGACTAGTCCCAGGAGAAAGGATATCATGCTTCGTTCAGTAGAGGGTCAGCACAAACGGGAGCCCCTCAATGAGACGGATTGACACAGTGACTGTGACAGTGTACTCAAGCAGGGCAGCAGTTGGGAGGGTGGCGCAGGACCAGGCAGTGTTGGGTGTTTTGTTGCTGCACGTGGGGGCTGCTATACGTCAGAACTGACTTGACGGCACCTGACCACAGTGTTTTTTTAAGAAGGGCCCGTTTTCTGCACAGTTCCTGTTGCCTCTTCTTCTGGGGCTTTGGTTCCTGTGGGCCTGCTTTGCTCTCCTGTTCCCTGATCTCTCTTCTGCAGTGCGGGTTGAGTTCTGGTACCCTGTCTTCGTGTTCACAGTCCTTTA